TCGTGGCCTCTCCCGTTGCGGAGCACAGGCTCCGGACGCGCAGGCTCAGCGGCCATGGCTCACGGACCCAGCCGCTCCGCGGCATGTGGGATCTTCCTGGACCGGGGCACGAACCCGTGTCCCCTGCATCGGCAGGCGGACTCTCAACCACTGCACCACCAGGGAAGCCCGACTGCCAGTGTTTTTATCCTTCCCTCAGTCTGCCTTCTCATCCTTTAATCTTTGCCTATCTCTTCCTCTTCACGAATCATGTTATAGAGACTTTTTTATCATATGTCTTGGACACTGAATATAGTTTTGTCATATCTTTTGGGCTTAAAAAAAGGTCCCCCATTTGTCCTGCCCGCTGCATCCCAGATCAAGCTCGGATCTCCCCAGCCACACTTCAGGAAAGGGCTCAAGCTACATTTGCAGTGAAAAAGAACCAGAAACAGCAAAAGAAACTCTCATTCCTTCACAGACCTTCCCCCTTCCCTCTTCGGTACTGTGTGGCCAAGAGGTACACCTCTGATGATTCCTTCCTGCTGGCTTCAGGTTTTACAGCCCTTGTTTTCTGGAATTCCTCTGTCAGTCTCTTCTGTAACCGATGGCTTTGACCTCCAGCCCAGGTTTTACACAGGAATGTTCCCCCAGGGTGCAGGACTTCTGGAGCCACGTCCAGAAGGGACAAGCACAAGGTGATGAGCCTATCGTGGTCGAGGCCCCGGATCCCCGTGGCGTTGGGTGCCATGTCACTCAGAATCACATCTGCTCTCCCAGCAGGAAGCAGTTCTCGGATTCTCTGGAAGGTTCTTGGGTCAGTTACATCGGCAGGGCACAGGAAAGTTGCTCCTTCCAGGGGGGACACGTGAAGGAGATCTACCCCAAGCACAGAGCCAACAGGAGCACTGGGATCTAAGGAAGAAACGGTGACTGTGCTTATTTACACCCTGAATCTTCCCACAAACAATAAATGCAACAAAATAATAAAACAGAAATAAAAAGTCAGGACCGAGGAAAAGAGCTAATGTGCAAATATGTGGACACAAGCCTTTCCCCACTTTCTGTACATCCTACAAAAACACGTGGTGGGGAGTGGTGGTCCTTCTACCTCTGAGGAAACTGAGGCCCAGAGAGGAAAAGTGACTGTCCCAGGGGACAGGCAGACCTGGGGCCACACCCTGGGCCCTGACACCATCTCTGATTTCATTGCACTCCCTGAGCCTTGCGGTCCATGAAAGGGCTTTTATCTCTGAGTGCTCTTTTTGACAAACTGAACCAGAAAATGACACACCAGTATACAAAGTGCCTCTGGATTAAATCAACAAATCCATTCTGCAGGTAATCCAATTTCTTTCAATGCAGAAACTAGCAGAAACGAGCCAAGAGAGGGGGGAAATGGACAAATGCAAAGTAAGGTAAAAAAACTTGATACCCTGCCCATATTTGAGTGATGCAAGTGGTGAAAGAAAAAGATGTTATTCTTTCACCTCACCTGAAACAAGATTTCCTGCCCGCACGGCCGCTGCCCCCAGGCTCCACCTCCCTTCCCTTCCCTTCCCGTTCCAAGCTCCCCTCTTCACAAGCCCTGGGGGTCCCTCCCTGCACCACCCCTACACGCCAGGCACCCTACATGCCAGGGTAGATACAGGCTAGATACATGAAGAGAACAGACTCTTTTGTAGCTCACTCGGCTTGGTAAAAAACCTGCTCCACTGGTGAGGGGGCAGGGCGTTTTATCTCGATCTAAAGATTGCAAGTCCAGGTATTCTGCAGGATACCTCATTTTTCAAAGGCAAAAGCTCTCCATTTTCAGCCCTGGCTAGTGGGACAACTCTTGTTCCATTTTATACACTTCTGGTGTCTCCTTTAACGTCCCACATACTACAGCCCCAGGAAGTGTCCTCTAAAGGCAAATGGCTTTGGTTCCATTTTTGCAACTTCTGGAAGTAAAAGAACCAAACCATTTGATCCACACACTCTTTGCTTCTGCCACCTCTTCCTACAAGTTAAACTTCGGCATTTTCCTGCTTCTACTGAAGAGAAATTAGGGGGACAGGAACCACTAAAATCAGTTGTTAGGAAGTCTGTGGATAGACTCAGTGGTGGGAAAAGGAACAGAAGTTTCTGACTCATTTTCACTTAGCTGATAAATACTAAGCTCAAAAGAAATTTTTTTAACTGTTTTTAAGGTGTCTGGGAGAGATCTTTGTGAACTTCACATGTGTCATAATGCCAGTGCATGTGGTACCCTCAGACTTCACAGCAGGAAATACAAGTGGTAAGGATCGTTACCACAGCACTGCACACCCAAAAGCAACCTTGGTGCCCAAGATGGGGAGACTGTAAACACCAACAGTACGACCGTTATCTGGAATACCACGCAGCTGTTTCAAAGGATGGCATAGTTTCCTGCCCTGCATAGTTAGTTGATCTATTAGTGAGAGGAAACTTTTTAATATAGACGATCTTAGTCAAAACCCCTAAATGTAAAACAGATAAAAGCTAAGTCCCTCAAGTTGAGCCGAAGTGGGGAATCCAGAGCCACGAGGGCCCCCCCGGGCAGCCCCAGGAGCACCTCCAGGAAACCCAGGGCTTCAAGGACCAGGACCTGGAAACCCCTGAGGTTGACTCAGTTGTACTGTCATGGAAAGACATCAATATATCAGTCAGCCAAAAAAAAAAAAATATATATATATATATATATATATATCTATCTCTGTTGAGGCTCCAAATCAGCAACAAAGGTACGGGATGCACACCAATATATTAGTCTACACACTACTGTGGTGTGATTTGAGGTGATTTTCATTTTCATTATCCCTTTCTACCCTGTCTCTCATTCTGAAAATGTCAGTGTTGTATCATCCCTCCTAAACAACCACGCAGAAGCATGTGCCCTCACGGGGCGGCTCAGCTGCTCTGCATCCCCTGGCAGAGGGCAGCGCCTGCGTCTAAACCACGGTGGTCGGGAGGCCCCACCTGTGCCTGCAGCGTTGACACTCTGCACAGCCACCTGGCTCCACGCGCCAGGAGCGGCGCCGCAGTCTAACACCCGGAGGCCAGGCCGCAGAATCCGGTGCCTCTCGTTCACCTCCAGGAGCTTGAAGGCACTTCGACACCTGTAACTCTCCACCTTCGCAGCCTTCACAAACGGGTCCCTCAAATGCCGCATCAGCCACAGGTGCTCAGCGCCCGTCCGGCCCTTGAAGCAACTCCCACCGGTGTGGAACCTTTGACGCTGAAAGGAAGCCCACACCAGCTTCGAGGACCTGGTGAGGAAAAAGGGAGCAAGCAGGTTGGCATTGCAAAGACCAGCAGGTCAGGAGCTCGCAGGCTTAATCCGCACGTTTTCAGAGATGCGACCGTGCGCCCCAAGAGGGAGAGGTGACTTGACGAGACCCCACAGCTGGAAAGAAGGTGTTACGGGCTGAACTGTATCCCCCCGAAGTCTCTACGGTCAAGTCCCAACCCCCAGCACCTCAAGAGGTGGCTGGTCTTTAAATGAGGTAATTAAGGTAAAATGAGGTCACATGGGTGGGCTCTAATCCCATATGACTGGTGTCCTTGTAAGAAGTTAGGACACAGACACACACACACAGCGAAAACCACATGAAGACACAGGGAGAAGATGGCCGTCTACAAGTCGAGATGTCCCAGGAAGCAACCCTGCTGACACCTTGATTTCAGATTTCCAGCCTCCAGACACTGAGCCAGAAACTTCTGCTCTGTAAGTCGCCCGTCCTGGGTGCTGGTTTATGGCAGCCGGAGCAAGCTCCTCCAGCAGGCCTCTCCCCTTCAGCCCAAAGGTGTTTTTTTCCCTCCTGAAGTTTTCTTCAGGAAAACTCAAACGTTAATGGTAGTCACCTTGTTTGTGTCAACCAAAGTTTTCCCAAGACTGGTTAAAAATGCTGATAAAATTAATGAAAGTAACATTCTTTCCCAGCGGATAGAAATTTCCACTGGGCTTTGAGAAACTCTGAGAAAACCCCGGGAGGACAGGTCCTTCCCTTGCTTAGTTCCATGGCTTTGGCGGCTAGTACAGGGTCTGACCGGCCTGTCACATTTCTTAAAAAAACTGAACTCACCCTGTGTGTGAACGAAGCGCAATTTCCAAGCCTCTTAGGGGAAGTGGGGTTGTTAACATCTTACCCACACCTCCCTTCATGTAAGTCTCAGAACAACCTGACAAAGGAAGCTCTGCGTCCTTTCTTCTGATGAAAAAGGCTGCCATTAGCCCCATGGTTAGCAGCCAAAAGTTCCTTCAGCATGAAAACATGGTGACAAGATTTGGAGACAATAACGTGAGAACTGCTGCCTTTAAAAGGCGTAAAGAGTCTCGAGGAAAGAGGACACAGGGTGGTCCTGGGCGCCAGAACTAATCCCACCGGTCAGCGGAGGCGTGGAAAGCGGAGTTACACGCCCCGAGCCCACCTGATCTGGGCAGCGGGCCTCCAGCCCCATCCCACGGCCTGGATTCAGCCACGTGGGCCTCTCACCTCTGGTACGCAGGCTTCAGGCCTGCGGAGCTCTACACAGCTTCACCTCCACCCGCGGCGCCCCCCCCCACCCGCCCCTCCCTTCCTAAAGCCCCCTCCAGCTCTCCGCCCGCCCGCCCCTCCCCGCGAGCCTTCGCCGACCGTCGGCTTCGTGCTGGCAGGTCTCCCCTAGTCACCTCGTCGGGGCTGACCCTCTCCGGGCCTGGAAGAGGTGGGCTCTGCGCCCCTTTTCGGACCGGAAACCTGGGGCAGGCCCCTGGCCACTCCGCCTCCCGCAGGCATGCAGTAGGTTCTCCACAAATGCCGGCTGAGCGCCAGCCGCCCCGCTCACCGACCGCTCCGCTCACCGACCGCCCCGCTCACCTGGCCATGAACGCCGACCTGCTCCAGCTGCCGCCACCGGAAGTGCCGGCCTCACTTCCGGCCCTAGGCCACGCCCCCGGAAGCGGCGCGCGGGTGGGAAAGGCGCGTGCAGAACCCGGGAGCGGGTGAGTCCGGGAGCGGGTGAGTCCGGGAGCGCCGCCACGGGAGACGGACCTGCGACTTGCCGGGGAGCGCCCGGTGGGCGGGGGCGGCTGGAGACCCAGCACGGACAAGGCCCCAGACACGGGAGTCCGAGCCTGGCGCTCGACTGTGCGTTGTCTTTAAACTCCAGTCGCGGGCCTCGGTGTACAGGCGACCCCACTGAGAGGCCACCCGGCTGACACGGGGCGCTGCCCGACCCCTGACTTTAGGCGGGCTCTCTGGGGACCCGTCTGATGGCAGAACCAAGAGCTGTAGCCAACTAGACTTCAACGTGCGGTAGACGCAGGTTTGGGTACCGGCTCCGGTGTTTGATTTGGGGTCAAACGTAGCCTCTCTGAGCTTCAGTTTCCTTGGCTGAAAATGGAAAAGGTAAGTGTCAGCTCACAGAGTTGTTGGGTCTGTTAAAGGGGATAATTTGGGGGAAGTATATAATCGGTGCCTAATCACTGACAGCTGACAGTTCTAGCAGCAGCAGCAGTATCCCGATTACCTTAGGAAGCCAGGGATTTGGACACGAACAGGTCGGGGACATGACAAAGTCCGCAGACTAAAGGGAGGCTGGACCACAGAGACTCACCTCTCCTGCCTGACCTACCGCCAGCACCAGGACCCAGGCCTAGGGCCCTTTTCTCAGACACTGTAACTTCCCAGGAGGATCGCTGGTCCTGAATCCTGCATCTCGTCCAGTGTGGGCCCCAGACTGGGGTGGGGATGGATCAACAGCTAACTTGGTCCTGCTCTTCCAGCATTTCTCCAGCGGTGGCCGACGTCACCCTCCGAGTCTTTCTCTGGACCACACAAACCCATTCGAGCAGGAGAGGCCCTTGGGCTCCAGCACAGGTCCCAGAGCAGCAACAGTTGTGAGCAGAGTGTGAAAACCTGTCACAGGAGTGGGGACTAGCCAGGCCTCTCTGGGTGGACTCTCCACTGTCAGGAGCCATGCATTTCTTGGGAATCTGGAGGTCTGCTTTTGCAGAGAGGCAGAAACCAGAACACAGTAGGCCAGAAGAAGGCCCCGTAATGAGAAGGCCAAGGCCAAAAGCCAGACGCAAGAGCCGCTGGGTAAACTGCAGGGTTCTCTTGGTGCCCGGCGGGCTCGGGCCCTGGACACAGGAGCAGGGACAGCCCTGTGCCGAGGAGTGGGGAGGGGAAGGGATGGGCCATCATCTGACCTGCTGCATCAGCCCAGTAAGCGAAGGGCCTGGGCACTGATGCCCCTGGGTTCTGGGGGCCAGGCCTCTGTCTGCCCCAGAAAACCTGCTACATGTGACAGAGCTGGGACGTTGCCTCTCCGTGCCTTGCAGAGCACATTTCCTGTCCACCCGGCCCCTGGCCACCTCAATACACACGCTTCCGTCCACACCCAGGTCAAGCTGACCCAACCCCTTGCCTTCCCTGCAGAACCCAAGGGCACCATGTGTGCCTCGAGGCTCTACACCTTGGTACTCGTGCTGCAGCCTCAGCGAGTCCTCCTGGGCATGAAGAAACGAGGCTTCGGGGCCGGCCGGTGGAACGGCTTCGGAGGCAAAGTTCAAGAAGGAGAGACCATCGAGGATGGAGCCAAGAGGTGAGGGGAGGGGCAGGCCTGACCGCAGAACCAGCTTCCGCAGGCGACAAGGATTCGGGCTGGAGAGCCAGGCCCCTGATTTGACCACTTAGAGCCACGCGACCTGGAGCCCAGACTGAATCCTTGAGCCTTGGTTTCTTCATTTGCCAAGTGGGGATAATAACAGTACCTACCTCTTAGGACTGTTGTAAAGATTAAGTGAGAAAATAAACGTAAGGGACTGAGCGAGGCCTGGCACATGGTCCGTGCTCAGTACACATTAGCTGCTGCTCTGCAGTCGTGGCTTTTAGGACATTTGGGAAGCTGCTGTGCAGTGGCTTGGGTAGAAGAATCCTGGCTTCCCCTTTCTAGCCAAGGGACTGGCCAGTCACTGGGCTCCTTCCTTTGTTCAGGGGAACTGGTGATGAGAGTGTCTGGGAGCTTCCGCACACAGCCTCAGTTCTTCCTTGACACACTCACTTTCACATGGGAAGAACCGAAGCCCAGAGAGGTTGCGCAGTGTGCCCGAGATCACACAGGCCTCCAGACCGCAGCCCCTTTGCCTTCCTGCCCCTCGCAGGCTTGTGTGGATAAATCCAGCCTCCTGTGTCATCCACTGAGCCCCACGCGGTCTGGCCTCGCCCCCTCGCTCCCATCCCCGCCCCCCCCCCCCCCCCCCCCCCCCCCGCCCCGGACACCCCAAGCTGTCATTGCCCACCCACTCTTCCTGGCTCCTCCTCTGGCTGACCCCTCCTCCACCTTCACATCGGAGAAGGTGCCCCTCCCCCAGCTCTTCTCCATAGACCTCTGGACTTCCTTCACAGAACCGCCACCTTTCTGATCACACCAAATTACGCCCTCTGTCCGTCGTGAGGCCAGGACTGAAGACCTTTTACAAGTCAAGTTTGTATTGAAGTATAAAGTACATGTAGGAAAATGCCAGTCTTCATCAGGGAATTTTTAAGAAATGGGTCCATCATTTAACCAGCACGTAGATCAAGAAATGGGACTGGAGGGTGGGCCCTGCCCCCAGGGGGGCAGCCTGCACCCTGACTTCTGTCACAGTTGACGGTTTGGCCCATTCAGAAATACCCTGTAGAAAGAGCCTTGCAGCTGTGGCTTCTTCCTGGTATTATGTCTGCATGTGGCAGTGGTCCAATCCGGTTTATGAACACACTGCAGCCTGCTCATCCCGGGCGTGGGCTTTTGGGCCGTTTCCGGGTTGGAGTTGCAAGTGATGTAGCTGTGGACGGTCCTATACGGTCTTTCCGGTGGATGCTGCCCTCGAGAATTCGAGGTGTTCCGCCTTAGCACATACTGCCAAACAGTTGTGCTCATTTAAAGTCCCGCCAGCAGCGTATGAGATCCGCTTCCTCCAAATCCTCAGCGCCACCTGGCATCTTCTGTCCTTTGCATCTTAGCCATCCCGGCAGGTGTGGTGATACCTTGTGGCGGTTTTAATGTGTTTGCCCCAGTGACTAATGAAATTGAGCCACCTGCTCAGCGTCTGTGGGCCCCTGGCGTTAAACTCGGTGCAGCCGAGCAGACGCCGTGCTGGGCCCTGCAGTCTGCCCTCCAGACACTCGCTGCACCACCAGAAGGCACTGGAGCGGTGGCCCCGTGACCCCCAACCTCACTCCTCTGTGCCGACCTCCCCACAGATCGCAGAGCCGTCCTAAAATCGCTGACTTTCTGTTGTCGTTCAGGCTTGCTTACTGCTTTATCATCAAGGTCTCAGTTACCCTCTTAGAGCCTCGTGATTCTTTGCCCTTCGGAGGCCTCGTCCAGCAGGTGGGGCTGTGGAGGGCGCTTCCTCCCAGGCCGCCCTGAGCTCCGTTTTGATACCCGGGCGTCCTTGAGGGCACACTCAGCCCCTGCAGGCAGCGTGCCCCACTGGGGGACATCCTCTCCACAGCCACGGGGCACTAATGGCCTCCATGCTCTGGCCGGACCTTCCTTTAGGCAGGGTTGGCCTTACCCTGAGACTGAGGCCAGAAGTGCACCACCCAGGGCCCACACCGCGCGCCTGATGTAGACCAGTCTGCCTGTGACCGCATGGCACCACGCTGGTGCCCAGGGCCTGTGGGTCAGCTCCGGGCAGCTCTCTCCAGGAGCCCCGTGGCCTCTCCCCAGGGTTCCAGCCTGGGTGTAGGATGGAGCCAGGTGTCAGGACCACCCCGACAAAGGACTGTTGAGCCCCTGCAGAGGGGGTCGGGACAGGTGGCAGGTTCTAATGCACGGGGCGCAGGCTGAGACCCACCCCAGGGCCCTGGGACTCCAGCAGCAACAGGGCTTCGCCCACTTTGGGGATGACTCAGCCGTCGGCCCCAGGCCCCTAGGGAAGCTCTGGCCTCTTTCCGTGCACGTGCGTGGGGCTGCTCCTTAGGCCCCAGGCCCTGGCTGTCCTGCCCTGACGAGCGAGGTCACGGCAGCCTTGGTGGTATCTGGTGCACTGCGCTTTTTGGGGTCCCAGGGTGGGCCCCACTTCAACAGCTGGGTTAACGTGCCAGCAGACTCAGGTGGCCGGGAGACTGGTTGTCCCTTCCTCTGTGCTGGACGTCCTTGGGGGGAAGCCATCTGAGCACCGAGGAAGATGCATCCTTCCTCTGGGGGGTTGCAGGGAGTTGCAGGCACTTGGGGACCCAGGGTGCCTCACAGCCAGGTTTCAGCTTCGGGCGTGGAGCACGCCCACCTTTCTGGCCAGCACCCACAGAGCACTGTGTTAGAGAACTCTGGAAGGCCGTGCGGCCGGCAGGCCCCCGAGCTGCACCGCGGGCTCCGGACCGCAGAGCCCCCGTGCCCCCCGCTGTGTGGGGAACATCCCAGAGATGCAGTCAGACACGTCAGCAAAACTGGATCAGTGTCACCCCTGGCTGCCTGGTTATCCCGGCCCGAAACGAGCTCAGCTCTGCCTGCGAGGACATTATTGACATTTCATACACTGCCGTGGACTCCGGGAAGATGAGACAAAATTAGTCAAAACATTAAATCAGCAGGTGATGGTTTTAAAGACGAGCCCGCCAGCCTGCTGCCGGAGGTAGGGCGGGCCCTGCGGAAGGCTTCTGTTACATTTAATTGGGGAGCCATTTCCACCCTCGCAAGTGAAAACACACGTTCATTTTTTAGGTCGTGTCTAATTTTAATTAACCATCTCAATGAATAAATTCCAGCTTCCAGAGCATCACCTGGGCTGTATCTGAATGGCAGCAAATGGATACAGTTCCTCTCCAGGCCTCACAGGAAGGTTAGGGCAGATTCCAAGCTCAATTAGGCATCCATTTAAATAAGACCGTTTAACCCAACACACGTGTTTAACAAACACTGGTTTCCCTGACTCCTCATTACAGGCAACAGGAAGTAATTATGCATTGTGTTCCTAACATAACTCAGAGATCAAAGCTTAAAAAGACCTTTTTTTAAGCTACCACTCTAAATAGTCAGGTATAATTAGAATGTTTTTACAGCAACAAAAATAAATACAGGGCAGTGGAGAAGTGAGACTCTAGCAGGAGACACAGGTGCTGAGCTTCACGGGTGCAGGGCTGGTGGGGTCCCCAGAGTCCCGAGCACAGCAGAACATCCAGAAAGCGCTTGCCAAGGATGGAATGAGCCGCAGGATGACGGCGGCGGGGCAGCCGGTGGGGTGAAAGGCTGGTGGCAGACGGTGTGTACGAGGATGCTCATCACGGCGGGTTTCGTGATGAGCAAGGTGGGTCTTTTATTCTATGATACACAACAGCCGAGAAGCTGGTTGAATTCCTTGAAGTGTGGAACGTGGCTCTGCAGTGTTGTGTGAAAAGCACAGGTACGAGGTACGGGCGGCATGTTAGCAGTTCTTAAAAGGGATGCACAAAGGAGAAAGACCCAAAGGGGAAACTGCAGTGGTAGCAAGGGTTCTTGCTGGGTGGGGAGTCTCTGTGCGTTTGCTAGATTGTCTACAATGAATATGTAGCTTGGGGAAGCACTGTTAAATTGAGGGGGGGAGTCCCGGTTCTCGTGAATCGCCCGGCACTTGTGCACTCAGGTGGGGAGATCAGCCCCCTGACCCCTTCCTACAAGCACAGGTGGTTGAGCTGGGGGAAAGGGTCCTGAGAAGCGGGGACACAGCGAGACAGGCCCAAAGCTCATCCCCTACCATCAAGCGCGGCTGAGGTGAGCTGGCTGGGGTGGGGCCTGTCTCCTTGGCGAAACAGGAGTTAAAACAGCCCCTTCTCTGGAGAAGAGACAGTAGAAACCTGCAGTCTGCTCCTGAGCTCTGAGCGGGGACAGGACAGGGCAGAATTCTCTGGGCAGGAGGACTTTGGCTCAGGGCCGGGTTCCGGGGGCTGCAGCCCGCAGAGCACCACGCACACGTGACGGCCTTAGGGAGAGCCAAGCAGGACACGTGGGGCCTCCTGGCTCTAGCACTGGCCTCCCGTGGGACCTCCGAGCAGCTGAGCTGGGCCAGGCCTGACCTGCCGCGTGGTGCACCCAGGGTGCTCAATTACAGAGGTCTGGCTGACCCTAAACAGCGGTCCCCGAACCCAAGCCCTTGGCCACATGTACACACTCCGCCCCTCCATCCTCCCAGCACCATTCTCGGGTGCCGCGTGGGCGCCTTGCGTTGTCACCTTATGTCCGGGTGCGTCCATCCGCCTCTGCCCACAGGGAGCTGCAGGAAGAGAGCGGTCTGACCGTGGACGCGCTGCAGAAGGTGGGCCAGATCGTGTTTGAGTTCGTGGGTGACCCCGAGCTGATGGACATGCACATCTTCTGCACAGACAGTGTCCACGGGACACCAGTGGAGAGCGAAGGTGAGTCTCTGGGCTCGTCCCTTCACGGCGGGCGAGAGGGAGGCAGGTGATGAGCGGCACGGCAGCCCTCCCCTCCCCCAGGGGCAGGTGCTGAAACACACCAACACCGGAGCCTCCCTACTCTTCTGTAAGATAAGGGATACAGTCACAAGGATTAAATATGAAAGTATGTCAAGTTCCTCACACAGAATAACTCAGTAATTCCTCACAAAGTCAGTTTAAAATCTGGATTGAACATCGATGACAGTTCCTTTTCACTGACTTCAGAAATGCGCCCCCAGTGGTTCCAACTGGACCAGATCCCCTTCGCTGACATGTGGCCCGATGACAGCTACTGGTTTCCCCTCCTGCTTCAGAAGAAGAAGTTCCACGGCTACTTCAAGTTCCAGAGTCACGACACCATCCTGGACTACAAGCTTCGCGAGGTGGACACAGTCTAGGACAGAGCTGAGCTCGTCCCTCGGCCCATGAGCATCCCTGCCCAGCCACGCTGTGGCTCCAGGCTCAGCACACCGGCCGGGCCTCCAGTCTGTCTGGCGCATGATTGGATGGAAAGGAAAATAAACCTCTTTTACCTTTTCAACATTCCTCACCGGGCCTCACGAAGTCCCATCCTCGGGGAGCCGCCAGAAATGCCTGGCTGTGACCTGCACCGCTGGACAGAGATGGGGGAAAGAGACACAGGCGCAAAAGGGGAGGGGACGGCTTTTCGGACGTCCCACGGGGGAGAACTGGTGCGGGAGGCCCGGCATTGGTGTGCACGGGGCCGCGGGATCCCAGGGATGGGCTAGAGGCCGTGTCCTCCTCTCACCACCCCCCTTACGGGGAAACCGAGGCGCAGTCACGGCCCAGGGCTCCAACCCCCATCTAATGTACCATCACTTGGTCACCCTCCGTCCCCCAAGACAGGCTGATCTCGTCCTGGTTTCTGACCCTGGGGAGGAGGCTGGGGGGTACCAACCACTGACACAAAAACTTCACAACTTGACCCGACTTTTATAAACACGTTTAATGATAGTTGTTCGTGTAAGTTCAGTGATAAAAATCTCGGAATGTAGCTCATTTGTAAACAATTCCAGTTAACTGGGTGTGATGGTCACTGATCCCTGCAGCCGTATAAAGTGCTTCATACATAACCAGACTCAACGCAAAGCAAGAGAAAAGGCCTAAGATACCGAACCGTCCTGACCTCCGGCAGCCCGAGCCCCGTGTCCCCACGGCAGCCTGCCTTGGCCACGCCCTCCCTCCGCCCCACTCTGCGTCTTCGCCCGCTGACTGGAACGTCGCTGTGGGTCACCACGGAGTCAGCTGGACGCAGGCTGGAGGGGCGTGGCGTGAAGGCGCACGCCTCGGGCCAGGCCAAGGCAGTGGTAAGCCGCACTCAGCCCTAACGGGACGGGAGCGGCCGAAGGGCTCCCATCGGGAAAACGGAACCGGACGTCCTTTCACGGGGCTGTGACCAGGCTCTCCCGGGCACGAGGAAAGCTCGGACGCAGAGGTGTGCGTGACCCACCTTGGAGCTGGAGCAGCCTCTCCTCCCCCTCCCCGAGCAAACACTGAGCAGAAAACCCTGCCCGCCGAGCCTGGGAACCCGGCGGCAGACCGGGTGGAGGGCGGACGGGGAGCTTTGTGGAAAAGGTGCCTCTGCGCCCCCAGCTGCCACACGAGGGGGACACGGTCACTCCAGCATCTTCCCACTGACCCCTTTCCAGCACCTGGGGTGGGGGGAGCGGGTGGACCAGAAAGTGCCCTGCAGGTGAGCCTCTCAGGAAGAGCGAGGCCAGGCCTCCAACCAAGAACGTGCTCCTGGTTTCCACGCGGGAGCCAGTCCCGCCAGGAGGATTCTCTCCTGGAAAGTGCATCTGATGTCTTTGGTGTCAGAGCTCTCCCTGGTGACCCGTGTGGGGAGGGCAAGCCTCAACCTGACCGGGAAGACGCTCCCCACCCTCCGTGCCGCTGCGCCACCACCCACCACGCGGCCAGGGCGTCTCCCCCGCTCTCCGCTGTCCCGTGGCCTCGTGTCCCTCACCACCCACGGACAGACCTCGGGGGTGAGCAGCCACCACCGCGGGGCCAGGGCAGCAGAGGCCTGCGGTCAACGCTCTACGGCTCAAGCGTACACAGCACCTGGGGACCAACCTGCCGGGCGGCACAGAGCCACTCGAAGTGGTTGGGAACCCGTCTCTCCACAGAGAGATCAAAACGCAGAAGCAGCGCACAAAGGGGCAAATGGCACAGGCGGCCCCCGCTGGCCAGGCTCCGGGGGCGCACCACCCCTCTGCTCATCCAGGAGACCGGCCAGCCCGGCACAGGAAGGCACACGTTGGCTGCCGTGGGGCTCCGGCGGGGTGGGGTGCAGCCGGCCTCCCCGCACGCCTGTGGCTTTGCTGGCACAGGCAGAATCCACGTGTGGGTGAGCCCAGGCCCCAGTGGGCACAGTCACTTTGCCCTGGACTGTAACGTGTGTCAGCTCACCAGGGAAGCCTGCCTGTCACCCAGAGCCTCTGGGTCCCACGTGCGTGCCTCACACCAAGGGCAAACCCCCAGAACCCCCAGGCACATGGTGCAGGAAGGCAGGGACCTCAGAGACCCTCGGTGCAGTCGACCTCCTCCAGCGCCCTCCCAAGCCAGTGAGAACCGTGAAGGACGGGGGACATTTACACAACAGGGGGTCAGGGCAGGACACACCCAGGCCCCAGGCGGACATAAGCCCACCCAGCTCCAGACCGCCGCCCCCTCGGAGCAGGCTCTGTGCCGGCAAGCGTGGCAGGGAGGCTGGAAGGAGGGTTCCTGCTGCCCCAAAGAAGTGATGTCGGTGTAACAGAGGGTTACCAGAGCGACACAGATCCCCCCGCAGAGCCCACTGCCCTGCCAGCCTCGACGCTCACGGTGTGGCCTCCCAAGAACAGACGGGCAGCCGCCTGCACCTGGAGAGACGGTGGAAGCATCGGTTCACGGACCTCCAGACGCTTTGGTCCCCACTTTGTCCTCTGCACCTCAGACCGCCGGGCACACGACAGGGTCACAGTGTGAGCGTGCACACGTGTGCGTGCCATGGAGGGAGGGACACAGACACCAGGGCCGCCAGGCTCACAGTTTGGGCCCAGGGACCCTCGAGCCCCGGCTCGCATGGCCAGGGCTATCTGCGGGCCGCAGCAGCAGGTCTCGCTGGCCATTTCGGTGTCGGACACAGCCACCGCCGTCCGACGGCAGCACGCCGGCCGCGGGGACGGTCCTGCCCCCATCTCCCCGCTCAGCTATTCCAGAACCCTCCCAACTGTTCTAGCACATGGGCCCCAGCACACGCCCCCCTGCGCGATCTGCTGTGTGCAAGCCATCCCTGCTGCCTCGCCCTCTGTGGGTCCTGGGAGAAAACCGTTCCAGGGGCCCTCAACACTCTCGCCACCAGACTGACAGGCCACGCTGTGCTTCGGGAGGGCCGGGCAGGGTCGAGGGCAACCGGGACAGACCCCGTGTGGCCGCGGCTTCCGTGCACGCCCGGCGGCCCAGCGCATGTCCTCGGCCTTGCTCCCCACGAGGGGAGGGGAGCCACGGCCACCAGGACCCAGCCCCACCCTGCCCGGGCATCAGCTCTTCCACAAGGGGCTGCAGCCCAACGCTGGGCCCCCTCGGGGTCGGGGCAGCCACCACGTGAGGGGAATTAAACAGGAACACACCATTTGGAAAGAAGTTTTAGTGAGGGCGCCGGAGCTGCCGCCCACGTCCTCCCGGCACTAGTGAGGAGACAGGCCGTCCTGCGGGGACCTTGGTGGGCTTGGGGCGCCGTGCGGTCCAGCGAAGAGGCACTGTAGCTTGGGCTGCAGGTCATTCCACACCTTGCTCATCTGGAGGAGGAAGGGGCAGCGCGGGGTGAGGAGATGGAGGCCGCCCGTGGCCTGACGCACCAGCTCTCTCCTCCTAAAATGCTCACGGAGAGAGGAGACGCCCGTGCAGCCACGCCAGCGCATGTGTCACCTCCCCCAGAGCTCCCAGAGTGGGGGCGGGCCGGCCCTCCCACCCGCATCGCGGCCCAGCGCTCCGAACAACCCTCCACAGACCAGCCCAGGTAAGGGCAGACCTGCAACCAGAGGTCATGGTGGCCGGTGTCACCACCCCTGCACGGGGACAGAAAGGCACGGGTCTGCTCGACGTAACAAATGTTATCACAGGGTTGCTCCCTCTGACAGGTCTGCAGGTGCCGGCCTTCTGGGCGGCTCAGAGGCCAAGACAACGTCCACCAGAGGAACACAGAGATGGGCAAAGCGAGAGCAGGGCGGCCGCCACCACAGCTCCCGGCCCCAGGCGTCTGCGAGGAAGGAGGCTGAGCAGCGAGGCCCGTGTCCGAGGCCAGCACTGGGGCAGCGGGGCTCGCGTCACAACAGGAAGCAGCGTGGCCCTGGGAACGTGCGGCGGGAGCAGAGCCTAGTACCCGAGTTTCGAGACCGGGGCACTCACGAGTCACCCGCAGCGGAGAAATCCAGGATCGCGTCAGGAAATGTCCCCACTGGCCGCCCGGACCTACCCGTGAGGTCTCACCAGCGTACAGCCCTACCTCCCCCAGCGCTGCTGCTGCCTTGGCCACACCTGCAGGTCCTACACTGTGCCCAAGGGCACCCTGGGCACCCCAGCGAACTCCAGGGGCACCACGAACTATGAGAAACGCTCAAGGGAAACTCAGCATTTGTCACAGGCTACATGGACCACTACTCTGACGCTGTCTGGAGCTAAGAACGTAAGAAACAGAACCATTAAAACGGTACTTTGGCCTCGGGCTGCTGTGAAAAGTCACTGAGGCACTAAGAGAAAGTAAAGGAACTTCTGTCTCAGGCGGGCAACATTTCTCACTCATGCCCGACTCCCCTGGCGTCCCACTGAAAGCACAGACCCTTGAGTCCCGGGCCCAGCGGTTCTGAAAGCAAGTCTGAGAGGGATCTGTACACTAACCACATGCTGACCAGACCCTCCAGGCGGCTCCAGCACTGTTGGCTCCAGACCGCTCTGGCCCGGCCACCTCCCGCCTGGATGCACCATCTCCTGTCTCCTACCCCTGAATCCGCACAGCCAGCCGCCGCCCGGCACCTTTCCGAACTACAGGTCTGAGCTCCCTCCACGCGCTGCTCACAAAAGCCTCCCTGGCCCTCCGGGCAGGGTCGCCAGCTTCCCAGACTGCACCCCAGCCCACCCCTGGGGCCCCGCGTGGGACCCGTCCCCTCCAGCTGGCCGACCTGTCGGGATCTCCCACTCCTTTGGTGTCAGGGACGGCTGCGGGGCAGGTGTGTGCCCAGCACGGCCACAGGACGACGACCAAGCAGCCCACTTCCACCAAATCCCGGAGCCGGTCTCGGAAGGCTGCAAGGGTCACATTCTACGCCACTTGCCAGGTAGGGAAAACTGGCGCAGAGCTTAAACAACCCAACCAAGGCCGTTCAGAGCTCAGAACTGGTGCACAGCTGGAAGCTGAGACAGCTAGGATGTGAGGTTCAGAGAGTCTGAGCCTACGCTACCTCCCCGCCCCCCGCCTGCGTATCAAAGAGCTAGACGTGGCACCCGGCAGGTGTGTCCCTCACAGGAGGTGCCGGCGCCCCCAGAGCCGAGAAGGAGCCCAGGGTGGAGGGCGTCAGAGAGAAGGAGGGCGTCGGCTACTATGAGGCCAGCGAACGCAGAACCGGGCAGGGACCTTGCAAGTGTCCCTTCAGCCCTGGCCGCACACACATCCCAGGCTGCACCTGGGGGCAGTGGGCGAAGAGCCAAACCCAAGCCAGAGCTGTGGCTGACCCCGGCTGTCCGCGCAGTCCGCAGGGTCCCCGGCCCGTCACGGCGCTTCTCAAGGGCTCAGCAGGGTTTTCACAGAAATATCCCCATCTGCGGTCCCCCTGCACCTCCTCACACTGACACCCACTGTCTGCTCTCATTCCTGGCGATTCCATGTGCTTTGCCTCTGACCTCTGTCTGGAACTCCTCCAGAAGCGAAGGAATCCTTCCTTTACGGTCCTGCTCTGCTCTCCCACCACCCCGCCCGCCGGGAGCCACAAGGACAACGTCAGGAGTATCATCGACTACCACGGGACGAGCAGGTTTGGACGGGAACGGTTCCAAGTCCTAGCTCACCCACTGCACTCATTTCCTAAGCAACTTCACGGTCAGCCGCAGGGCTGCCAGACCTGCAGGAAGGGCTGCTGCAGGACGAAGGGCGCTGGCCCGGACGGCCAGGTGTTGTGTGGGGGACCCACCTCCTTGTGCCCTTGGATCTGGGAGCTGACGAAGGCCCCGAGGATGTGGGAGGTAAGGGGCAGGTAGACGTGGACCAGCTGCGTCTCCTGGTGCAGGCAGTACAGGGAGAAGTAGTTGCGAAGCTCCATCGTCTGGATCACGTTCTCCTGCTGCAGAGCAGAGAGCCCCTCGCGACTGGCCCAGCACACGGTGGGAAGCAGGAGCGCCAGGGCCCACACCCCGCCCCTCCTGAGCCCAGGGCCAGGCCCCCCCTCCGTGCGACACATCGGTCACACCGGCTCCGTCAGCCGGTGCTCGGGCGTCAGCGTCCCAGCAGCTCAGGAAGCCGGGGGGGGGGGGGGGGGGGGGGAACGGACGGCGGCCCGGGGCCCGGCGGCAGGTGTGGGAAGGTGCCCTCAGGCCCACCCACCGCCTCGCAGGCGGGCCCAGGCCGCCCGGCCCACCTCCACGATGCGGGACTCCAGCTGCTCCACAGACTCGGGCTCGCGGTTCTGCACGGCGGCGCTCGTCAGCTGCCTCTTCATCAGGCTGTACTTGTGCAGCGCCCGCTGGTGCTTGTGCAGCACGCCCTTCTCGTGCCGCTCACACAGGTCCTGCCGGGAGGAGGTGGCAGGTCAGCCCAGGAGGCGGGAGACACAGATGGCACCCGCTGCACGCGGCCTCCACGCCTGGGGCCGAGGACGGCTTTTCCTGCTTAGAAACAGCTCACACGCACCCCGCTCACTCCACTCTCGGTGTTCGTGGAAGGGAGCGTCCGGCTGAGCCACCCGGGGCGAGCTGTGAGGGGGTCACGGTGCAAATCAGCAGAGCCAGAAACCCACGGGGAAATGACCAGCGCAGAGCGGGGACAGCCCTGGACCTCACACGTAATGCTGACCGACTTCCAGAAAGGCAGTGCCCCTCCAGCAGCAAGATTAGTCTCCTAAAGGATGACGCACTGGCATTTCCCTGGGGCCCTAACGTAACCCCGATCACGATTCCTGTGGGAATACTAGCCACGGAGTCACAGGGCTGCAATTTCAGAGGCCACTCACTGGCTGCTGTCCCACCCAGTAGAGGAACCCCTTCTAGAACCTTCCCCACCGGCGCTGGGCCAGCTCCCCCTGAGCTCAGCACAAAGGATCCTCAGGGCTCACAGACGATCCATCCCGCCACCGATGGTTGGAAAGCCGCCCCTGCCCCGAGCTGAGGCCTGACTTCCCAGAACCTCCATACCCTAGAAGAGGCGGCTCCCACTGGGCCAGCCCCTCGTGTGTTTATAAAGAGCGATGGCAGTCACACTCACACACACACACACACACACACACACACACACACACACACTCACGCGCACGCGCCCCTCGCTCTCACATCGGGTAAGCCAGAGGCCTGCCCACAGCACCCTGCAGGACGCACACCCCCCTCCCCCGGGGAGCCTGCAGGAGGCCCATCCGCACCCCGCAGCCCTGGCTTCAGGCTCTTTTTCCATGTTCCCCAGAATCACACCCTTGAAAGGTCACAGCAGCCTTCTCAACAGCTCTGTCCCTGACCAGGCAGCAGCCGAGACTCACTTTATAGGACTGGAGCAAATCCAGGAAGAGGTTCAGTTTCTCCACCACGTCGTTCTCCTCCTGTTTGCTCTGGAAAACACCGGGCAGGTGGGCCAACACCGACCGAGCACACAGGACCCAGAGCCAAGGGCGCACACCCACCGCGGGTCTGGGCTGGCTCGGCCCCCATAACCGCGGGCTAGCTGTGCAGGGGGCCCCGTCCACACGACAGCCCGCCGACGTGAGGCCGAAGCCTCAGAACCCGCAGGTGGACAAGAACGAGGGCCGGGTGCCCTGTGCCCACCTCGCGTCTGCTCGCCTCCCTACCCGCCCAGCAGCCTGGCCGTCCGCAGACAGCGGGGCTGGGTTTAAACGGGGGAGCAAGTGGGAGGGATGCACCGGCGACGAGGGGAATCGCTGCGGTTTCAACGAAAGGGAGAGAAGCGCGGCCTGCGAGGGGCCAAGGGGAGGGTGTGCAGCTATGGGACTGAATCTGAAGATTTTGGGGGGGCGCGGACCCCACACACACCTCTGCACCCAGGTTGACGCGGGGGGGCCCCGCGGCGTCATGGGAGGGGGCTGTTCACCGACTGGGTGTCCTGGTAACGACGGGGTGAAGCCCCGCTCCCGGAGTCACCCACCGCACCCACGAGGCGTGCAGCCCAGCGCCGCTCGCACGGACGAGCCACGTCCACACGGCCAACGGGCACCGATGCTCAGAGCCGCTCCCGGGCAGGAGGAGTTGGTGCCAAAGCCCTGGGCTGGGCTGCTCTGGGCTCAGAGTTGGTGGCTGGAGACGAGGGAGGGCAGCATGAGGGAGAAGCGCGGTCTCTCCACCTCCTGCTCCAGGCACGGCAAACACGGGCCTGCAGGCCACCACGCACCCTCCCCCCGTCGCCACAGCAACGGTCAGGCTACGGTGGTTTCCAGGGAACCCCCCCATGCTAGCTCTGTGGTCCCAGCCACGTGTGCTGGGGGGCTCTCGCACCCTCACATCCCTCAGCCACCAATATGCGTCAAGTCCCTCTTTCGGGTGCGCTGAGCACCTCTCCCAAGTGCAGCACCGGCTCCTCCGGGAAACCAAGCCCCTTCTAAAGCCTCTAGAGCTCCAGCCACGGCAGAGAATGAAAAGTTCACCCCATAAACCACACATCAGACCTGGTATGAGGAGGGTGCAGGCAGAAGAAATGAAGAGAAGTCCAAGACCGATGGGGACACAAGCGCTGGATGGGAGCCGGGGGCTTCCACCCAAGCTCTGGCACCAACTCAGGGGACCCTGCGCCCTCGGGCCCGCTGAGCCCAGAGGTTCCCAGCCATTCAATCCCGCACCCACAGTCAAGGTTCTAGCCAGTAAGGTGACAGGAAAATAACAGGCATGTTGCAGGTTTTTTCAACTCAGAAAGGGAAATACCAGATGGCCACAGGTGCCCTGTCCCTCCTGACTGGGCAGGGGACACAGGAGGACAGAGGTTCCTCCCCGGGTGTGTAGCAGGGGGACTCCTGCGCGTGTCATTTGCTCCCAAGTCCCATTTCTGCTCTGGTGCTGTGCACGGCCCTAAACCACCAGCACGTGTGCCTTTACAGAAAGCACACGCCCTGGCACCAAGGAAGAAACAGCCCCACTGTGAGTCTCGCTTGTCTGGCTGGGACATAGTTATCAGGTCTCCTAACAGGTCTGGGGAGAATAAAACCGTGATACAGAAAAACGGAATTTAGAACTAGCCCTCTGATATCTTCACTTGCACAGCAAGAGTGAAATGGAACCCTAGCTCTGACGGATGAAAGTCCTGACAGGCCATCTGATCCAGTTTTGTGTTAAAACTGTATTGATGGGGGGCTTCCCTGGTGGCGCAGTGGTTGAGAGTCCGCCTGCCAATGCAGGGGACACGGTCCAGGAAGATCCCACGTGCCGCGGAGCGGCTGGGCCCATGAGCCATGGCCGCTGAGCCTGCGCGTCCGGAGCCTGTGCTCCACAACGGGAGAGGCCACAACAGTGAGAGGCCCGCGTGCGGCAAAAATAAAAAACTGTACTGATTTCACTTCAACATAGAAACCACCAAGAGCAATGAGGGAAATTCAGGAAACAGCACCGCGCAGACATGACATTGCAAAGCAGCATTTGTGAGGAACCTCGGAGGCAGGAGGAACTTCAAACCGCACCACGTCAGAAGCCTGACGCCCGTCTCCCCTCGTCAGGGCAGAAGCAGCATCCAAGTCTGAATCAGAAAAGATGCTGGAAATGATCGAGTTGGGGTTCCCACCCCGCTCTGTGCACCCCCTCCAGGTTACCTGTCCAAGAGGGAGCTGTGGGCCCAGGGCCTGGGTCCCAGCAACAGAACAGCTTCGTGTGCATGTTTTACAGACTCAGCTCTGAGTACAGGGCCAAGGGTTAAACAAAAAGCTGTTAATGATCTAGGCCAGCTCCCTTGTTTCTAATCACAGAGAAAAGTACCCAGGCACCAAAGCAGCCCGAGCGAGGTCCCAGCATAAGACACAGGCCAGCACAAAGCAGGCTGCCCGAGCTCGCCCGCCTCTCTACCCAGCCAGTCCTCTGACACCACGTTCTTGGTCCCCAACCCCACGCCGCCCGCCATGGAAACGTGGGCTCCTCTCACCTGGAGATGGACTGGGCCCCGGTGCCAATTCCGCGCGACGCTCAGTGTCTGAAAGACACACTCAGGCACGGGGACCACAGGGGAAGAACACCCAGCACTTTCCATGCCAGGAACGTGGTCGGATTCCCTTTTCATCACTTAGAGCTGTCCTGGCACCTGAGCATCCCACCTGGAGCCTGACAACCCCCCAGACCCACCTGTTGCTGTGGTTCCATGGCTCGCTACTAAGGAGCTTTGAGCCTCAGCCGGGTAGCAAGGCCTCCATTTCAATGCATTTAAAACCAGCTACCAGCAGCCTAAAGCCCATTTCCCCAAGCACTAGGAAGCAAACTCTCACCCTCCAAATTATGTAACAGTTTTATAGCATAAACGCACCCAGATGAACATCTCCTCTGACGGTAAACACTGTACCTGCAAATTAACCCCAACGACTACAAGACTGCAGATTTCCACAAACAACACCTGCCCATAGAGCAGAAGCATTTCCTGAGGTAAACTGGGTGTCTAGGGTGAGACACGGGGGATCCTCTGGGGGTGCTGGGAGCTTGGCTGTTCTGATGAGCTTTCAAGTGGCCAAATGCTGCTTGGCTATGACAGCACCATGGGAGCAACCTGGGTCCACCCGGAACACCCTGGGAAGTGCAACGTTACATCTCCAGGGACACAGCACATCTCATCTCAGCAAGGTCAGATCTCAGACACCAGAACCCAATTTGTCCACATCATTAGCAACCCTCTCAAGCGCGTAAAGGACCCACAGGGAGCCGCACCCGGAGCAGACGGGGACGTGCCCTTCCGACCCTACCACTCACTCAGGACTCGACTGTGACGTCCACCTGAGGAGACGCTCCCGCACACCACGGTACAGAGTGCTCTCCGAAACAAGCACCTCGGAGAGCAAACCCACTCACCTGCCGTGCAGCCTTGTCAGCGAGCAGTGCAAATTCAACGGACAGGCCTTTCAGCGCCTGTTTGAGGGACCCCCACGTGCTACTGTTCAGAGTGGCCCAGGAGGGGAGCGGGGTCGTGTCAGACCCTAAAGCACTGAGGAGAAAGGAAACACACAGGGGAAGAGACACTCTGGCCTGGAAGCTGGGCGGCAGCCCCCCCGACGCCCCCCTCTGCCCAACAGCACACCACCCCAGGGTGGCCGCCCTGCACATCTCCCAACCGAGACGCCTGCTACGTGAAGCGCAGGAGCGCTGGGAGTCGGGCAGAAAGGCAGGATCTCGATCCACCAAGACCTGGAGCCGACTGTCAGTGAGACCCCGAGGGAACGTGTGCACAGCAGGGTTGTGGCACGCAGTTCTGGGGACAGCTGCAGAGGGCAGCATCCTGGCTCGAGGCCCGGCCCCTCCTCCAGAGGAGAGGAAGCGTGACCAGCCGAGCACGGCCCTTCCCGGATCAGATGAACCTTTTCTCAGGTCTGATCCTGACAACGGGGGGAGCCCCTACGTTTGGGAACCCCGGTGCTCTGCCTACACTCTCCATCTCTCTTCTTTCTTCTAAATGCGATCTCGTCTCCCCAGCCCTTTCCTTCCCCTCTGGGGTAGAACGAGTCAGAACGAGAGTCATTATGGTAAACACACTTTCTGCTCCGAGCCCGCCACCAAAGGCTAAAGACCCCGCCCCACACAACTGGCCCCATGGAGCCCACCAGGGTCACCTGCCTCAGCTCCTTCCCGAAGATGAGGAGGTCAGCAGCATTGTCGATGGCCCGCGACACCATCCGCTCAGCCCTGTCGCGGAGCTTGTGAAAGCTGTTGTAGATGTTGCAAATCAGCTCCCGGCTGATGACGAATTGAGTCTGGATGTCGGCTGGGAGGAAGTCCTGACGGGGGAGGGGGAGGAGACTGTGCATCACCAGACGTGAAAACCTTCCAGAAAAGACGACCAGCAGGAGCGGAAGCAACTCCGTCGACCGAGCAGGTAAACGAGCCCAGACCGCCAGGCCAGGTCACGCAGCGCCCAGCCCAGGAGCTCACTTCTTTCTCCAGCGCCCGCCCTGGACCCCTCTTCTCGTCCAAAAGAGACACAGAAACCAACACTACACGCACACCGCAAAAAATACGATCTGCAAACTCGACACGATCAACGTGCGGTCCTGACTCTGCACGAGGGCCCGGCCTCTGCATTTCCTCATTTATTCCCGAAGGGTAACTTTTCACCAGCTTTAATAGTAACTACCCATTAATAGTAACTAATGTTAACTACACAATGCTTAGGAAATAAAATGAAGGTAAAGGAGTCTGTATTTTTGTACGGAGAAGTAGTTTAAGAAGAAATAACAAAAAAAAAGGTACCAAATAGCTACTTTCATCCTTTTGAGAAAGAGACCAGATTAACTAAATTTAAAAATAAACCAGTGCAACAATCAATCCCCTGAAATCCAAAAAGCTGATGACCGAGCATCCATCCATCTGAATCATGAAATGCCTGAGGACATGGCACGAGGGGCCGGTGGGCCCTGTGGTCGGAGAGCGCTCAGTCACACCTGGGCCCCTCTGCCTAGGCGTTTGGGACCTTGCAAATGGCAGCCTCTCTCTCTGTTTCCTCGTCTGTAAAATGGGCGTGACACCCACTGGGTTTCAGATCAACTGAAACAAGGGTCAAGGGAGAAAACCACGCGACCCGTCTTAGCACGATGTCTGGCACACAGTAGAGGCAAAACAAACATCACTAACTGCTCACATGGTTACTGCTCTGGGGGAAGGGATCATCAAAATCAAAAAGTACCTTGGCCCGAGCAGCCAGCTTACAATTCATGAACTCGTCTCCCACACACTGAGCGCATTCCTTTAACTTGTTCTGCACATCCTGCAAAAGCGAGAGAGAAACACTTGACCCTCAACCAGCCACAGAACCAGAGGCGTGAGACCAACTGAGCCACCAGAAAGCAGGGTCTCCACGTGTTGGCCTTTTTTTTGGGGGGGGGGGGGTGCATTGGGTCTTCACTGCTGCACACGGGCTTTCTCTAGTTGCAGCAAGCAGGGGTTACTCTTCGTTGCGGTGCGCGGGCTTCTCATTGCAGTGGCTTCTCTTGTTGCGGAGCACGGGCTCTAGGTGCACGGGCTTCAGTAGTTATGGCTCGTGGTCTCAGTAGTTGTGGTTCACGGGCTCTAGAGCGCAGGCTCAGCAGTTGTGGCACTCGGGCTTACCTGCTCCATGGCACGTGAGATCTTCCCGGGCCAGGGCTTGAACCCGTGTCCCCTGCATTGGCAGGCGGATTCGTAACCACTGCGCCACCAGGGAAGCCCTCCGTGTGTTTGCTTTAACGTAAGTATTCTGTAATCTCTTCCTGTCTCCTGTTCCATTTGTTTCCCATTGGCCTTAACCTTTGGGGTGGTCGGTCTTCCAGAGGCAGGAAAGCTCGACCTCGTGACAGGACTGCAAACTCCAGCTCTGGAGTGGAGCTCTCTCTCCAGAAAAACGGAAACTCCACCTCCAGACCAGGGACGTGAGTACTTGGGACAGACGTCGGAGTCACTAGATCCTGGAAGGTCCCACGTGGGGCACAGAGACAGGGACTGAAGTCTCCTTCCTTCCTATGATCAGACCCATGGGGTCAGGGCCCCCAGAGCCCTGGGAGAGCTGATGGCAGAGAAAGGGCAGCACTTGTGTCCCGAGCCCTGGCTCTGAGCTCTGCCCTCTGAAGGGAGGCTCCCTGGCAAAGCCGAGCCTTAAGACGAGCCCCACAGAGAGCCACGGAGGATACAGGCAGAGACCCTAACGCGCAGCTGTGTGTGGGTGAAGGAATCGTAACATCTCAGAGATGCCTTGAAGAGCATCTGTCCCAATTCCCTCATTTTACCAAGAAGCAAATGGTGCTGGGAGGCCCAGGGACAGGCATCTCTGGAGCCTGACGCCACCCGGCTTCTGCAGCGGCTCGCCCTCCCACCACCCTCCCTCTGCCTGGAGCTGAGCGTAGCTCCCTCGTCCCACCACATCCCTCTGCTGTGGTAAAGATCCCAGTTCTACAGAAGCCTGTCCAGTCCCAGGGTTCGAAAGACCCACCCTCCCAGCTCAAGGGCAGAAGGCCACAGCATGCATTCCCTGGATGTCTGGAACGGGTCCCATAAAAGGGGCCGACCGACAGGCCCCCCGGGCATCGCAGTGAAAGGCCACAGTGTCTCTAGGGGTCAAAGGCCCCTTTGGCCTCCAGGGAGAGAGAGGTAAAGGAGGCGGCCAGGCTCGTGTGGAATCCACCTCTGCGTCTCTGCGCCCGCATCTTCCCGCGGCCGGTGAGGGCACGTCTGTCCCACCGCAGGCCGTGTGGGGCGTCCTCGCTGGAGCCCCCTCCGCCCACCCCAACAAGGAGAGGGTCCCTCGGGGAAGCCTCTCCGCCTCCGAAGAGCTCAGCCCTGGGCACACGGGGCTGTCCAGGCGGTGCGTCATCGGGCTGTGCCTCGGCGTCCTGACAGACCAGGACGGCCTGACGGCAGCCTGGAGGACGATGCTGCTGCTCCAACGTCGCACCGGAGTCAAGGCCCACACAGAGCTCACTCCCCAGGACACAAGTCCACCCTGCAGCTCGGCCGGGGAGACTCAGCGGGCGCTCCCCGTGGCACTGAGTCCAACCCAGCCTTCCTTTTGTTTTATTTTTTTATTTTGGCCGCACCGCACAGCATACAGGATCCTGGTTCCCCGACCAGGGACGGAACCTGCTCTCCTTGCGGTGGAAGGGCGGAGTCTCACCCACTGGACTGCCAGGGAAGTCCTCAGCCTTCTTTTTTAAGTAAATGCACATTCACATCTGGAGTCGCTAGCCTGTCTGTCAACCCTCCAAACCACAGAGGCTCCTGTGTATCAGCTTCAAACCCTCAGAGACTGCGCTGAAAAGCCACCCCTTCCACACAAAACCCTGCGAAGTCGGAACCGGGATGCCTCTTAGAATCGTACTCAACCTGTTACCTTGGGAGAATATAAGTCATATCTGTGTTTGTCCCAGGTAAATAGATTCTGTCATGGCACCCAAACAAGGGGATTAAGGGGAGAGCACGAAACAAAAGCAAATTTAAGAATGAAAATAAGTGGGACTGCTGTGGGCCTGGGTTGGATCCCTGGTCGGGGAACTAGGACCCCACAAGCCGCGCGGCGCGGCCGAAAAAAAAAAGAATGAAAATAAGACCCGGGGAGCCTCAGGCCGCCGCACGCAGACAGCTGTGCGGCAGGTACTCACGGGGCCACTGAAGGACAGGAAGAGCTTGAGAACAACGTCCTCGGAGAAGGGCGGGTGCCGGGCCACCAGGTTGATGAAGCGCTTCAGTGCTCTCCTCCGGGCCTCGATGAACTCCCTGTCGGCTGGACGCAGAACACGGAGTGACCACACAGAGCCTGGGGCACGCGCCCCCGCGACCTCGCTCTCAGTGCCCAATGCCTCCCACGCGGAGAGCTCTCCAAGCCACAGGGCCAGCCGGGGGCACTGGACACGGACCACAGGCTGCAGAAGGCGCACCAGACCCCCAGCTCCGCGCCCTGCCGCCTACGGACACGCCCGGTCCGGGATCTGCCGAGGAAAACCACACAACCCGCTGGTTTTACTCAATGGCATTGGACCCCTCACTGTGGTCCCTTTCTGACGCTGCTCTCTATGAACAAACGGGCTTTCCTGAACTCATACATTAATCTGACCCGGTTTTCCTGCTCACATTACTCACTCTCCAATTGTGAACCGCTTTCCTTTGGGTTACGGATTTTCACTCCAAGCGCAAAAACGTCCAAGTGTACAATGATGCACTGAGAGTATTTAAATCTGACCACAAACAAAAATGGTATTGAAAGTATTACTTTTAAATTACTGAAAGAAAGCTGGAAGAGGATCTCCCCCCTCAAGGCCACGAGGACCCCGTCCATCGAAGGCTACATTTTCCTTAAGGCTGAGTCACAGGACCAAGCATTGCACGACAGTGTCCAGGTTCTAAACCCTACCCACACCCAATCAGCCTCGATGCCTGGATTTCACTAAGCATCCACCTTGCTCCCAAAGTACTTCCAACTCCTGCCCTCAGCATCCTTCCCCTCCCACGGGACAGTATCTGTCCCACGTGCTCAGGTGGGGCAAAAAGAAAAGGACACTATCAGACCCTGATCTAGTCAGAGACCAGTGAGCGCGCAAGCACTTTAGGACGGTGGAAAACGGCAGAAAATCGACGGTCAGCTTTGGGTACTTGCCTTCGGATCGGGTTTCATCTAGAATCTGAGCAAAGGGCTGTGGGTGAAGATCAACGAGACCTGAGAGGAGGCCTCAGCTGCCTCCCGCACTCTGGAACCCTGGGAGAGACGGGCCAGTGCAGGGGCCCGGGGACACCTGTGATCCCTCACCTAGCCCCAGGTAATTGCCGGTGAAGCATGAAGATGAGACAGCCATCTGCTATCGTTTTCATCTCCTTTGAGACGCAGGTTAGATCACTGGGCTGACATTCACTTCTGTTCTCTCGCAGAACACGTTACACTATGGTGGTACCCACTGCTCTCCCAGAGCCGGCAAAACAAACAGCGCTCCTGGTCCCCCACTCAGGAGCCCCAGGACGCCTGGCCTCTGTCCTCTGGGAAGGAGAACTGGGGTACACTCCTTCTCCCTTGCAGAAGGGGGCACTTCCCTACGTGTCAGTTATCAAGCAGGAGGCTCACGTAGCTAAGGGCACCAGGTGATGTCACCGTCCCGTTTCAGACCTGGGCTCTAAGCCACAGCTGCGCCCAGATTCCCCAGGGGCTGGGGCTGCACCACAGCCCTGCTACCGTCCCATTCCTGCTGGGCAGAGGGCCAGAGGAAGATGGGCCACGAGTGGAGAGTGGCGTCCATCACGGAGCCAGGACCTCAGCGCAGGGTGGGGGGACCCCACCCCCCTACGCCCCCTGGCCACCAGCAAACCCAGCTTTACCTCCCAGCATCCTCTTGGGCGGGAGGGCCGGCACCATGCGGTACGGGAACTTCTGCAGCAGCATCTCGTGGAAGACCACGAAGTCATTGTACCGTCGACACACGCAGGACTTGAAGCGCTGCAAGAGAAGAGGTTCGGAGCTCAGTAGAAACCCTCACACTTCACGGCTTCCCCTTACCTTCCCCTTCCACCACTAAATAGAACCTGTGGAAACAACAGGACTAAATTCCTCACCTTCTCTTACCAGGCCTTTACCAGAAGGAGAAATCCTCCATGTCCTTGATGGATGGAAATACAACTTTTAAACACTGCATAGCTCTAACTGTGTATTTAATTAAGCGCCTATTATTCTGGATCTTCTGAACAAGACGAGTCTCCTTACAGGAGTTTTCACCTGTATGGCAGCATCCCTCCTCCCCTTAGGTATCACATGGGAATACCTTTGAGGGTATGTCCTCAACATACACTTTCAAACCGTGCTAACACAAGCAGCCCTGCGCCTCCTGAAACAGACCCAACTGCCTAAAGGCAGACCAAACGCCGAACACGAAGACTGAAACACGGCAGACATGCAACTCAGAGGCAAGTGCCGACAGAGCCCACCGAGAGCCCGCCCTTGATAAACCCGCGGCTCCCACAGGACGAGCACCCCGTCCAGAGGGCAGCCTCACAGGGGTCGCATACAAGAGCTCTCACAAGAGCCAGCACGAGCAGCGACCTCTAAGATTAACGACGTTACACTAGTCACTAATTAACATCGCTGACTGGAAAAAGCCAGCCTGAGATGGTGACATACTGTGTGGTTCCAATGACACGACACTCAGGAAAAGGCAAAGCTACGGAGATGGTGAGCCATCAGTGGTGTCTGGGGGGGGGGGGGGGGGAAGGGGGCGGAGCACAGGGGACGCTTAGGGCAGTGAAGCTACACTGCGTGACTCTACAACGGTGGACCAAACCCAGAGGACGTACAAGAATAACAAGAGTGACCCCTCATGTCAACTGCGGACTCTGGGTGACAAGGACGTGTCTGTAACAAATGCACCATCTGGCGGCGGGGGTGGCGACAGTGGGAGGAGGGGAAGATGGGAAATCTGTTCCTTCAGCTCAATACTGCTGTGAACCTAAAAACACCCCCCAAAAAACAAAAAAGCTAAATACACTACACGAAGGACAAGTATGAAGCCACGTGTGTCCACCTCCGGCGGGCATCGTGCCACGTCTGCACCCACTCCGACTCCAGCAAGCCCGCAAGCAGGGGGCACAGCCCGGGGAGCCCCACGGCCCAGGAGCCACCCCCGCGGCCCTAACATTAGTGGGCCGGCCCCTCCACGCACGTCGCAGGAGGTGACCTGGGCAAAACGGCCCCCTTCTAAAAATGTTCGTTACGAGCTCATCAAGTTACTTCAGGAGCGGGCAGTTTAATGAGACTGAAGATAAGGCCACTCTCACAGAAGAGCAGCTTGTCACACGTGCGGGGCGCCCGGCCCGTGGGCGACGAGGCCCCAGAGGAGGCGCCGGAGCCTCCTTTCTCACCACAGCCGAGGAGGCCGGACCGCGGCAATGCTAGACGGCAATGCTGTCCCCGAAACACGCGAGGGCCTCCTTCCCTCCCTGCCCTCTGCCCTCCCCCTTGGCAGCGGCACCGACCAGCGTCAGAGCGAAGTTTACTCCCAGATTTCTGTCATCCTGGGTTTAAAACACAACGAAACAAAAATGCAGTGATTCTTGACTCTCACGGAACACGGCAAACAGCGTCCACGACGGGGAACGTCCCGGGTTCTGAACAGGCACCTTTCTCCCTGCGATGACGGTCGTGATGCTTTCCCAGCCCAAGCCCTGCAGCACTGCTGCCTGAGCCCGTGACCCGGGCAGCTCTCCGTGGCGGGGGCAGCACTGACCCTGCGAATCTGCCCCCCGCCACACACGCACGGGTGCTCTTAGCTCGCCGATGACTTAATCCCCAGGATAAAGAATAAAAGCTCCCATCAAAACGTATCCTAACTGAACCGGGATAACAGGCGAATGGACAAAAAGGTAAACGCTGCAGATGCCACAGGGTTCTACGCGCCCAGCCAGCCCCGGGGCCAGGCGTCTGGCATCAATGAACTCTGATTTCAGGGGTGCCCCTAACAGAGACAGCAGCACCATTTGGGGGATGAGCCACACACACTTGACTCGGGGTGTGGAGCCCACATTCTGTGGGGTCCACACTCTCACCCTCGCAGACATTCCAGCACTGCAAGACCGCCCTAGGCTGGCCCGTCCGGGGCTTGCGCTCCAGAGCCCGACCGAGCGTCTTGAGAGGCAGGATCCCAGAGCTCCGGCGGCGAGGGCGGGCAGGGCCGCTGGGGGGCGGCCGCAGAGGCAAGCATGCTGGGGGACCTGCCCGCCACTGTGGGTCTTCCCGGCGGCCCTCCCCCTCCCACCACCTCCGCCCCCCACTGCATGCCGCAGGTACCTGGCTGGAAACCTCATACTCCACGTGCTTGAGGAAGAGGCCCTTCTTCTCGGGGATGAGCTCCACCTGCACGGCGTCCCTGGCCAGCAGCTCCTGCAGCGTGAGCGACAACAGCAGTGGGTTCCCCGGCGGCATCTGCATCCGACTGGAGGCAGGGGCCCTCGGCTCGCTGACCTGGGGCGCTGGTGAGTCTGCAGGAGACAAGGTGAGCGCAGCTGCTCAGACAGGGAGGCCGCCCCTCAGACGCCGCCTGCTGGCTCAGCACGTGGACTCCGGACACGTCACCCAGCCAAACCCCGTCCTGGCCCCGGTGACGCTCATTCATTCAGGCTGGGGGGTCCACTCGGCCACGTCCTCCTCTCTCATAAACCACCACGCCATGAATCAGCAAACACGCCCACATGTCCAGGACCGGGCAAGTCTAGTTTTCAACTTGGGCAGAGAAAAAGAAGTGAAATATTTACAAGTTATGTGCAAAAATAGAGCCCTCCTTTTCTCCAGAGTCAAGAAAACGGTTAAAACAGAGAAATGGGCCATCCGATCTTCTACACGTGCCGGCATTTCCAGAATCAAAGCACACTGCGTCCCTGCCACCACAATCATTCTAATGTGTGAGAACCTGCATGCTCGCTTGAGGCTAGAGCTCCTGCTCACACAGATCAAAGCATTAAGCCCTACAACTTCAGCTCCTTAGACACAAGAAGTCACCCACGTATCGTTCACAGGACAGGGAAAGACAACTCAGAGATTTTATATCTAACAGCCTGCCAACAAACACAGAAACCCTGTTAAAAGGTCAGTTTGGTTTTTAGTACAGAGAAGAGTTTAGAACTTTAAAGAAAAAAGGGTTCTTTTCAGTTAAAAAAAGAAGGTTAAGGTATCCCTTGGGGGAAAAAGGTTTCATTCCAAGTAACACTGCTATAAACAAATAGAACAAAGGGTAGATCACATTTCTCCACCTTCTCAATTTTCTACAACGTCATTGTATCACTTTTTATGATTTACTTCTTAAAGTAATTCTTCAGTGCAAGATTCTGGTTTACATTCTAATACAGAATTAATGACCAGATTTTTTCATCTGTGAAATCACTCAGCATTTTAGGATTTAAAATATAGCTGCCTTGAACTGACCTTAAAGGTTAAGAAAATAAACAAGGGCTAAGCTTGTATCTGGGAACCCCCAAGGGCCTCAAAACTCCATACAAAAACTAAATGTCGGGCTTCCCTGCTGGCGCAGTGGTTAAGAATCCGCCTGCCAGCGCAGGGGACAAGGGTTCGAGCCCTGGTCTGGAAGATCCCACATGCCACGGAGCAACTAAGCCCGTGCACCACAACTACTTAGCCTGAGCTCTAGAGCCCCTGAGCCACAACTACTGAGCCCACGTGCCACAACTACTGAAGCCCACATGCCTAGAGCCCTGTGCTCCACAACAAAGAGTAGCCCCGGCTCGCCACAACTAGAGAAAGCCCACACACAGCAACGAAGACCCAACGCAGCCATAAATAAATAAATAAATAAATAAATAAAAACACTAAATGTCATGTGCTCTAAAGCAGGCTGCTCTCAAGTGAGGGCATATATCCCAGGGTCGCGACAATCCACCAAGTGCAGGAAGAAGGTATCAGCAACTCTACGTTTTTATTTTTTTGAATTTTTTCACTGCACGTGTATTTTCTATCTCTTCCTTTTTAATTTATATTATAATGTACATAAGAGTAGTAGAGTGTAGTACATGCATACAAATTACTAAAATATGCATATGTATAAATTGTGTACATGTGTATAAGTGTGTGTACAGGTGTTGCATGTGGGGGTGTGTGTACGAGTGCATACATACGTGAGTGTGTACGTGTGTATGAGTTTGAATATGAGGTGTGTGTATATGTTTAAGCGTGTATGTGTACATGTGTGCACACATGTATGAGTGTGTGTACATAAGTGTCTGTATATGAAGTGTGTATATGGGGGGTGTCCCCAACTGGCAGTCCCCAATACCTTAATGACTAAAAATGTGTGGAGACCACAGCTCTAGAATGCACCTGTTCTCCGAAGTCATCCCAAGAGCCCAGCCCCTTTCCACGTAAAAATATTTTTACGTGGAAAGGGGCCTTAAAGCTGTGTTTACCCAGTCTCCTTGGGGACCACGGAAATCCTCAAGGAGCCAACAAGCGTTTCTTAAGTACCAGCTCCAGGGAACACGGTGATGAATAAGACAGGGTACCTGAGCTCATTAATTCATCCACACAGAAAACAGCTGTGTCCACCACTGCCAGGCACAATCTATAAATATCCAAACTCTGGGGAAAGTGGGAATCAGCCCACGATAACCCTAACAGCGCCCTGAGACTCAGGACACAGCCCCAGGGCGCGAACTCCGGAAGGGCAGGGATCCGCTCAGCTCTGTCCTCAGGTATGTCCCGGCGAGGGGAGCCTGGCACACGACGGGGGCCCAAGGAATGTTTGCTGAGTGACTATTTACTGTTATTTATTGTATTTCCAGGAGGGAAATACAGCACCTCTGGGGAAAAGCGAAATCTTAACTAGAGGACAGAATATGTGGAAAAACAGGAAACAATAAAGCTAAAAAGGTAATGGGGGAGAATATTTTTATCAGAGAAAATATGTGCAAACCATACATCTGATAAAGGACTTATATCTGGAATATACAAAGAACTTACAACTCAGTAAAAACACAGACAAATAATCCAATTTAAAAATGGGCAAAGGGTTTACATAGACATTTCTCCAAAGATGTACAAATGGCCAGGAAGTACAGAAAAAAATGCTCGACGTCACTAACCGTCATGGAAATGCAAATCACAGCCACACTAAGATGATGCCCTATGTTGACTCCAATTAAAAAAACAACAAAAAAAAGATTACACTGTGCGCTGGTGAGGATGTGGAAAACCCTCACATATGCTGGCAGGTGCAGCTGCCTTCAGAAACGGTCTAGCAGTTCCTCAGAAGGTTAGAAACAGAGTTACTCTATGACCCAGCAACTCCACTCCTAGGTATACACTCAGGAGGAATGAACGTGTGTGTCCACACAAAGACCTGTCTACAAATGTCCACAGCAGCATGACTCATAAGAGCCAAAGAGGAAAAACCCAGATGCCCATCAATTGATGAATGGATAAACAAAAGCGGTCTATGCACCCAATGGAATATTATTCAGCATGTACACATTCATGCTACACCATGGATGAACCTTGAAAACATGACAGCAAGTGAAAAGCCGCCAGTCATAAAAGACCACATATGGGATGATTCCATCTACCTGAAACACCCAGAAGAGGCCAACCTACAGAAACAGACAGTAGCTTAGTGCTTGCATGCGGCTGGGGAGAGGGTGGGGGGGTGCAGGGCACGGAGGGGATGGGGGGAGGTGGGGGAGTGACTGGTGAAGAGGCGCGATAAAATGTTCTAAAATCGACTACGGCGATGCTTGCGCAACTGTAAATGTACTAAAGACCACCGTATCACATGCTTCAAATGAGTGAACCGCCTGGCACGTAAATGATATCTCTACAAACTCTTTAAGTATAAAAGGTAGGCGACATCAATAAGAAAGGCAGAGTAAGGACCGCCAAAAAATCCTCTCCTCCACAAAAGCAACGAGGACACTAGCAAAATCGTCAGAAATCAGCTTTTTCAGAACACTGGGAAGTGACTAAAGGTTTGTGGCAATCCAGGGTACATTTACTGATGCAATAATTAGTTAAGTCAAAATGAGGTCAGAGTGGAGTGGGGTGGGCCTTCATCCAACATGACCGGAGTTTTTATAAGAGGAAGAGACCACATGAAGACACAGACACATGGACACACAGACAGGAGGCCACAGGACGGCAGAGGCTGAGGAGCTGCACCTGCAGACCCAGGAACGCCCAGGATGGCTGGCCACCGCCAGGAGCTAGAAGAGGCGGGAAGAATCCACCCCGACAGGCTCCAGAGGGAGCATGACCCTGCTGGCACCTTGACTTCAAACTTCTGGCCTCCACAACTGTGGGACAAGACATTTCTGTTGTTTTAAGCCACCCACTCTGTGGTGCTTTCTTACAGCAGCCCCAGGAAACTCACACTATAAACTTTACAGAATTAGTCCAGAAAGGTTGTTAAACAAACAAGCTACAACAAAGAGCAACAACACCTTGGAGGGAAAACTGATTTCCTGAGATGCTACATTATTTTTTTTTTAACATTTATTTTTGGGCTGCATTGGGTCTTCGTTGCTGCATGAGGGCTTTCTCTAGTTGCAGCGAGCTAGGGCTACACTTTGCTGCAGTGGGCAGGCTTCTCATTGTGGTGGCTTCTCTTATTGTGGAGCACGGGCTCTAGGCACGCGGGCTTCAGTAGTTGTGGCACGCGGACTCAGTAGTTGTGGCTCGTGGGCTCAGTAGTTGTGGCGCACGGGCTCTAGAGCACAGGCTCAGTAGTTGTGGCACACGGGCTTAGTTGCTCCCAGCATGTGGGAATCTTCCCGGACCAGGGCTCCAACCCGTGTCCCCTGCATTGGCAGGCAGATTCTCAACCACTGCACCACCAGGGAAGTGTCAGCTACATTATTTAAATTGTCCAGTCTTCAACAAAAGTTTCTAAGACATGCAAAGAAACAAGAAGGCAGTACCAAAGCGGGGGGGGGGGGGGGGAGGGACACACACAACAGAAACTGTCCTTGAAAAAGCCTAGGTACTGAACCTATTAAAGACCTTAAATCAGCTATTTGAAATACGTTCAAAGGACTAAAGGGAACCATCTCTAAAGAACTAAGGGAAAGTATGAGAACAGCATCTCACTCACAGGGAATATCAATAAACAGACAGAAATTATAAAAAAAAAGAAACAGATAAAAATTCTGGAGCTGAAAAGTTCAATAGCTGAAAAATTCACCAGAGTCACAACAGCAGATCGGAGTGAGCAGAAAGAAGAACCAGCAAACCTGAGGTTGGGTCAATTGAGATTGTTTTTTCCGGTCTGATGGACAGAAAGGAAAAAGGATGCAGAAAAATGAACCGCTCCTCAGAGGCGTGTGGGACACGCCAAGCACACCAGCATAATCATAACAAAAATCCCCAAAGGAGAAAGGTTTAGAGAGAACACCTGAATAAGTAATGGCCAAATGTGATTTAAATAACCCAAGAACTCAGAAGATCCCAACTAGGATAAACTGAAGAGATCCACACTTAGACG